TCGTTACTTCCACAAACCCACAAACCTTTAACCTTAAACTGTCTACCGTGGACCTCACTCCATTCCTAAGAGGTCTGTATGGGGGCATGCATAAGTGCACCAGCGTGCCTACCATCCCTGTCCTACCATCCCCATTTATTTATACTCATCTCCACTTTTCTCATACATGTTTGACAAACTAAATAAAATAAAAAAATAAAATAAAATAAAACCTCACTGCCTTCCTCTTTCCCCATTTTTCCTCAAAGGAAAACATAACACAACATCTATCAACATCATGAGACTTACTGATAAACCTTTTTAGAAGGACTCAAACTGAAATTCTGCAGCTCAGGTTGTAGATTATTTGTTCCAAATATGAGCCCACCGATGAGATGATCTCCTGGCCTGTAATGATTGAGTGGGTCTCTAGCATCCCTATCCAAAGTCAAGAAGCACTTAGTGCCGAGCATCCCACAGGCTGCCTGGGGCAACAAAAGCTCCATCAGAAGCAGAAGCAGTGGCTTCATTTCTGGGTTAGCTGAAGGAATCCCCTGCCTTGAATCTGATCTTAGAATCAGGAGAGCAGAAGCATTTGGAGACGTTGAAAGCAGATTGCTGCAAGACTGACTTTTCTAATATAATATGAAGTCCAGAGAGAATTTCCCCAATGATGGAAACTGGACCAATGCAGAAGCAGAGCTCCTGGTGTCCATGAAGCTCAGTCCAGCTTTCCAGGGTGACAAGACAACTTATACACTCACTTTCCTGATGCTGAATGTATTGCTGCTGAGTCTGTTGATCTCCTTCAGACAATTTCCAGAGGGAAAAAGAATCCCTTGACATTTAGCAAGAAGGCAAGAAAGAAATCACTATCATTCTAATAATTAGCTGGGGAAGGAGGAGTTTTGCAAAGTCCTCCCTGCAGGGTGAACTGGGATCCAACTGAAAAAGTCCCAATGTAACTCAATGTAGTGGATTCCCAGAAAGCATCCACAACCAAATTGTTCTGTGGGCATTTGGGACACCTATCATTCTGCTGGGTTGATTTCTAATTGTTTTTCTTTTATGCTATTATATGTGACTGGTTTATTTTATAAAGTTGTGCTTTTGACGTGATGAAGATACTGTTTTCTTACTGTGGACTTTTGAATATTATGATGCTGATGTGGCCTTAGACTTATTGTGCATTCCTTATTATTCAGAACGTTATGTTTTAGGGTGGATACTTTATTTTTTTATTCTGAGCTACTGTGCATCTGTCTGGAATTGAATGCATACAAACAAATAGATGTCCAGATGTCTGTCCGTTCATCCATCCATCCATCCATCCATCCATCCATTCATGTAACATGTCCCTTTTCTACCTGGAAGAGTCAAAGAAAAGAGTCAAAGAGTTTCTAAGAAATTTCTCCCATGCTATATAACCTCAAACAGAGATGCTCAACGTGAGACATCTCTGGTTCTTTCATACTGATCCAACAGGTAGAAAAGTCTATCTGTACCCCTCTGCCAAAATGAAAATCTAATGAGTAGTATTTCACCCTGAGTCTTAAATACTTTGCTTCCATAAATATCTCCTGCAAATCATGAATTTTGATTGTCCCTAGAAATGATTCCATCCAGGAAAGGAGATTCCAAGAAAACCTCATCCTTTCCTTTCCTTTCCTTTCCTTTCCTTTCCTTTCCTTTCCTTTCCTTTCCTTTCCTTTCCTTTCCTTTCCTTTCCTTTCCTTTCCTTTCCTTTCCTTTCCTTTCCTTTCCTTCCCTCCCCTCCCCTCCCCTCCTCTTTCCTCTCCTTCCCTTCTTTCCTGTAGGTATCTTTATCCACTTTCATCCACTCCATCAAAAGTTTTACTCCAACAGTGAATCTGATGGAAGAAAAATCTGCTGTCAACTCAGAAAGCATCTCTGGCCTGCTCTTGAGTTGCCATTGGTAATCGGGGATGGGAAAACTAAATCTGTCGCTGTGGTGAGGTAGCATGTCAGTCAAAACAAAAGCACATTCCAGCCATATCTCTGTTAAGGCTGTCTCCATGGTTATCCACAGTGGCCAGAGAGGAGTGATATCTACAACCCGCAAAATTGTTTTGATAGAGAATGTGACTGATGACACACCTTGGGTGGAGGGGGAAAACAGGGTCAGAGCTGGAACATAAATTACGTGCGGTCAGAGTTGGCTTCACTTGGAACATGCTGACATGAAACTCCTAATAAATAATTGGATTTCTTTTGAAGTTTGGCTCGAGGCTCATGATTTAATTAGGGCATCGGTTGGAATCCTGACATCTGCTTTATGGTAAATGCTATTTTGCTCTTTTCAAATACTGAAAAATACAACAAATTTCCTGTGGATCACCCTTAAACAACAACTGAGATGACAGCATAGCTAAGATTGAATTTCTGCTATCAAGAAAATTTGGGGATCATTGTAGTTTCCCTTTGCCTTGTTTCTATTTTTGGTAACAGGCTTAATCTTGGGAATCATTTAATTCCCAAAAACTCACTTACTGAAAGCTAACAGTCAGGATCTCCTCTATTTTATTTATTTATGTGCTATATTTTTTGGAGTATAAGGCACACCTTTTTCCACCAAAAAAGAGGGTGAAAATCTGGGTTTGTCTTATACTCTGAATGTAGCCCCGCCCAGCTTCTCAAACGGAGGTTTCAGAGGCTGAAAAAAGCATCAGAAACGAAGCTTCAGAAAAGAAGCCGCCAAACAGAGCTTCAGAAAAGAAGCCCCTAAACAGAGTTTAAGAGGCTTTTTTTTCTGAAAATCTTTTGGAGGCTTTCAGAGGCAGGAAAAAAAGTTTTTTCTGAAACATGGTTTACCATCTTGCTCCCAATAATCCCTTTACTGACTTCAGAAGGATGCAAGGCTGAGTCATCCTTGAGCCAGTCAGGATCGAACTCCTGCTGAATTAGCAGTGAGTTAGCCTGCAATACTGCTGTCATGGTTGACTCGCTACGCAGTCTTGCTTTTTTTGTTGTTAGTTGTGAAGTCGTGTCTGACCTATCGTGACCCCATGGACAATGTTCCTCCCGGTCTTCCTGTCCTCTACCATCCTCTGGAGTCCATTTAAGCTCACTCCTACTGCTTCAGTGACTCCATCTAGCCACCTCTTTCTCTGTCATCCCCTTCTTCTTTTGCCCTCAATCGTTCCCAGCATTAGGCTCTTCTCCAGTGAGTCCTTCCTTCTCATTAGGTGGCCAAAGTATTTGAGTTTCATCTTCAGGATCTGGCCTTGCTTGCAACCAGACAACTATAACAGGAGGGGGAAGGGAAGGCCTTGGAATCTAAGGGAGGCTTAGAAGCCTCTTATACATTTCTTCAATAAAAAAAATGCCAATAGAGAATATTTGTTGTTCAGGATTGAAATGAGGGATCCTTGGTTCCCTCTGAGCTTTCTTTCTTTCTTGCAAATGTTTCATGACCGAAACTAATGACGTCATCATTGTTAGTCACTCATGATAGTTATCAGTCCTGATAATGTTTCCCTCCCCCCCGAATGTCATCACTCTGCTTAACAACTAATTCCCACAATACTGTCAAATAATGTATTACTATTATTCTTCTCTTCCTTACTAGTATTTATCTCTTCCCACTTATTACTATAACCATGTTGCTTGTATCTTTCAATTTATATTTTTTCTATTTGTTTCCTAGTACAATTTGATAGCTTATTAGTAACATTGACTATCAGTAAGTGTTGTATCTTTTTATTCTTGGAGAATGTATTTTATTCTCCTTATGTACACTGAGAGCCTATGCACCCAAGACGAATTCCTTGAATGTCCAACGGCACTTGGCCAATAAAGAATTCTATTCTATGTTACCTAGTTTGGGACATGAAACACCTGCAAGAAAACAAGCCCACATAGGGAGCACCAAGGACCCCCACAAAGAAAAAGAAATGAACTTCTGATCTATACTTTTGATTGTTAGACAGGATAGATTTTAGGAAGAAAAATACTTTCTTCTACCTGTTAGGTAGATCTCAATAATTATAAATATTTTATTAGTGAATTAACGTCCCTTGGATTGAAAAAAAAGTGATGACCATTTATGTTGCAGCTTTATTTTCCCCAATTGTTTGGTCTTATTTCTCTGAATCTGAGAGATTAAAAACACTTTTTCCTTTTGTAAAAGTAAGCTGTTCACCCCAGAGGTGGGTTTCAGCAGGTTCTGACCAGTTCTGGAGAACCAGTAGGGGAAATTTTGAGTAGTTTGGAGAACCAGTAAATACCACCTCTGACTGGCCCCGCCCCCATCTATTCTCTGCCTCCTGAGTCTCAGTTGATCGGGAGGAAATGGGGATTTTGCAGTAACCTTCCCCTGGAGTGGGGAGGGAATGGAGATTTTACACTATCCTTCCCCTGCCATGCCCACCAAGCCACGCCCACCAAGCCACACCCACAGAAGCGATAGGGTTATGCACAGTGAAAAGCATTTATGGAATGGGGGAAGTCCAAGTCCTTTAATAGGGTACAGAAACAAATGTTACAAACATTTGGTACATGTGATACATCAGAAATAAACCAACGAAAGAATGAAAGACATTTATTACATTTGACAAGTGAACAATAGAAAATATTGACTAGAGATTACTTTCCACATGAGGTAAATTTATGGGTTACATCATGCTCTTTCCAAAATGGATTAGTATCTTACTTAAAACTTGCAAGTGTATTCAATTACTTTCAGAATACACTGACTAAGATTCAATTGTTGAAAAGGCTGCTTTTTCCCCATGAAAAAAAAAAAAAACATGTTTTCCTAAAATCTGAAAGGAGGTCAACACTGCCAGACTAAAATTCTAATAACATCCTCACTTAAAGGCTGATAATGAAGCCCAAAATGCTAAATAATACTACCAGACACAGAAACATAAAAACATGGAAATTAGGTTTAAGCAGGAGATCACTTCAAAAAGCAGCCTGATAGTGTTTACTCCTAAAAAGTACCCAATGGGTGAGAATTATATTGGGTGGGAATTATATCCCCAGAACATCCATCAGCATCACTTTTTTACTTCACTTTTGAACATCAGTTGTTCCTTTGTATTCAGTTCTGGCCTCAGCAAAATGATGTAACACTTAGGGATGAAGATGCAACCCAGCAGCCCAGCACTGGAAGCCAAGATGGAGAAGACCTGCACAGCAACCGTGAATTTCCCTTTGGTGCTCAGATAGGTAGGCACAAAGGAGATCCAGACACTGCAAAAGACCAGCATGCTGAAGGTGATCAGCTTGGCTTCATTGAAGGACCCAGGTAGATTCCTGGCCAGGAAGGCCACTACGAAGCAAATGGCAGCCTGAAAACCCATGTAACCAAGGGCAACATAAAACATAGTGACAGAGCCTTCATTGCACTGCAGAACAATCTCTCTAGGCTGGGAATACGTGTCAGAATCAGGGAATGAAGGAAAGACTCCTAACCAGGTGAAACAAATGACCACCTGGACACTGGAACAAGAAATGATGATGGTGTTGGTCAGACTCTTGCCCAGCCATCCTCTCACTCTGTTTCCTGGCTTTGTGGCCAGGAAGGCCAGCACCACCATGATTGTTTTAGCCAAGACGGTAGACACGGCAATTGAAAAGATGATGCTGAAAATTGTTTGTCGGAGAAGGCAGGTGGTTCTCCTTGGCCGACCAATGAAGAGAAAGGAAGTCAAGAAGCAAAGAAGAAGGGAGACCAGGAGAATATAGGAGAGGTCCCGGTTGTTGGCTTTGACAATTGGCGTTTCTTGGAATTTAATGAAGATTCCCAAGACTAAAACTGTGGTTAAGATCAGGAATAGGGCAAAGAAAGTAAGAATAATTCCCAAATACTCTTGATGGGACAAAAAAGTGACAGTTTTGAGGATACATTGATCTCGATGCTTGTTCTGATACTGATTGTCTGGACATCTGGTGCAGTGGTCTGCATCTATAGGGGACAAATGTAATATTTACCATGAATTTATAGGATGGGAGTTAGATTTTGAAATCAGGAATCCCACATCTGAATTTGTGTGTGTATTCATCTGCAGGGTATGGCGGGCAGAGACAAAAAAATAGTAGTATGTGTATACCTGTGCTTCTTTGCCTTAGTATGTGTCTCAAATTGATAAATTGTAGCTAGATTAGGGGCAGAATTTGAGAGGAGACAATTCTAGAAAGCAAAAAGGGAGAAGGGACAACTATCTACATCAGGGGTATCGAACTTTATTTTTTATTTTATTTTATTTTATTTTGAATTTGTATACCGCCCTTCTCCCTGAGGACTCAGGGCGGTGAACAGCTAAGTAAAAATATCAAATACAAATATTAAAATACAGTTAAAAGATATATAGAAATTTGGCCCCATTAATTAAAAACGATAAACAAAACAATTAAAAAACACTTAAAAATTAAAAAATTTAAAAAACTTAATTTCACTGAGGACTGCATCAGGGCTATGGCTGACCTTGGGGAGGCGGTGGTCAGGCGTGGCTGACTGGGTGGGTGTGGCCAACTGGGTGGGTGTGGCCATCTTGACGCCACTCCCCAAAGGGCTAGCATGTTTCCTCTTTGCATTGGGTAGACCAGGCTGAAGCCACGCTGGCCCGATCTTTCCTCTTTGCATTGGGTAGACTGGGCCGAAACCATGCTAGCCGAAGATTTCCTCTTCTCATTGGGTAGACCAGGACGGCCCCATGGGCCGGATCACACCACATCACAGGCCGGATGCAGTCCATGGGCCTTGAGTTTGACACCCCTGATCTACATCATGTAGGAAGGTTTCTAATGGACTAGGATTAGCCAATTTGACAAGGTTGGAATATTCTGGTTTTCCAAAATGGAGTTTGATTTGTCCCATTACCCATTAATTGGAGGATAAAATTGAAATTCAATAACAATATTGTTCAACTCTTTTTGCTTTCATTTTGTCCCACCAAATTTATTTTTTATTTATTAATGATTTATATGCCGCCCTATCTCCAGCCGGACTCAGGGCGGCTCACAACAGTAAAAATCATCTAATGAAAAAGTTAAAAAGAAATTAAATCCAAATCTCATAATTTAACAGTTAAAAGTGCAATGAAGACTAATAAGTTAAAAATTAAAACCCCATCAGTCTAGGTCAGCCAAATGAAACAGCCACATTTTCAGGTCACGACGGAAAGAGCTCCAGGGGCAGTTGATTCCAAAGGATAGGTGCGCCTACAGAAAAAGCTCTCCCCCTGGGGGTTGCCAGCCAACACTGTCTGGCCGACGGCACCCTGAAGCGGCCCTCTCTGTGGGAACGCACCGGGCGATGGGCAGCTGTTGCTGGCTGCAGATGCCCTCTCCAAATATCCCTAAGCCCCATAGAGCCTTATAGGTAATCACCAGCACCAATACAAGTCCCAAATCCCAATGGTTAATGATTAAAAAGGGGCAGATAAAGTTGTCTGGTTTGACCTTTCTCTCTAATCGCCATGATGAGGAGAGGTTCCTCTCCGGTAGCAATGTATTCCCCCAAATAGCTACTCCACAGGAAACAAAGATCATGCTTGCCTACTCCTTGGATACTTTGGAGGAAGATGGATAGGCAGAAATGTGTCTATCCAGAGTTCACCCTGGAATGGAGGAGATGGCAAGATTACTGACTAGGTCCTGTGTGAGTTGGCTGTCAGGCCTGGAAGCCATCTTTTTCGTTGCATCTTCAGGCTTGCCACATTTACTACTGTGGGAAACTGTAATGGGGGGATTGTATGGAGCCCTGAGTCCAAAAGGAGAAGGGCGGTATAGAAATTTAAATAATAAATAATAATAAATAAATATACCGGTAGTCATAATAACATTCCTTTCTCAGAAAGTCAAGGACATCTTTACCTGCAGCTAGAGGGTTAGAACCGGGAGACATCTCCAGTCAGCATGGTGTTTGGATAGGGCCATGTGATGGACTTGTGGGTGTTGGGCAGGGACTTTAACTTTCCTTTGAGTGGGGAAAACCTGGAAGCTTTCAGATTTGGGTTTTCCCAGATGTGCTAATATGACATCTTCATTAACATGTAATTTTGGGGAAAGTCAAGCCTCGGAGTTTTCTTTCACTGGGGGTGTTACTTGAAACCCTGACATTGGAGATTAATTTATCTCAATGGAGCTTCATAATGTAGAAGCAACATCATTCTGTTTGTCATGGTGAAACAACGGGCTGCTTCATATCACTTCAACTGATCCTTTCCTAAGTCACATATGCTTCTTGATAACTGCTTGGCTTCTTCTACACTTAACCTCTCATTCCGATGAATTCTCCCAGCTCATATTATTGTTATATCCTTGGTGAAATTAATTCTGATAGTTAAATTAATACTCCCTCCCACTCCAATACCCAAATTAGAAATATCTTCTTAGCAAAGATCTGCAGGAACCTTTGCTCCTATCCCAAGGGCTGTTTTGATTCCCATTCACCCACCTTCTTGGGTGGAAATGCCCCCTTCTGCACAAGGGACGCAGTTGTAGCAACAGATTGGTTTTCCTTCCTGGACCACCTTGAAATAGCCAGGTTGACAAGGCTCCACACACTGGGAGTGAGGCAAGGGCTGAAAGTGAACAGAATTTGCATTCAGAAGCATCGGCAAAACTGATTAGTTATGAAATGAATTACAGTGTTGGAATGGGATTATCAGGTCCTATAGCTTTTCTCGTCTCCAGAGAAGAGCAGCAGCGTTGCCTTTGAGACCGGCATTTATCACCTCCTCTGCCTGAGTATCTCATAGTATCTTTACACTTCGAGATTGGCTTGGTGATGTATTGGGCTTTGGGAGGGACTCTGTCTGCACTTTACTGTTTTGAGTGGGAAACTTAATTCCTGCCTAGATCTCTTGATATCACAATCTTCCAATAAAAGTTTCCTTTTGAAATGGCTTTTGTTTCATGAGGACTGCTTTCTTGAGAGGACTGGAGAGGCAGGACCTTACAGGGAAAAACTAGAGGTATGTGCAAAATGGACTAGAAGTGGACCATTCTGTTTCTCCTCTAGCCCTTGTTGTGGTGGCCACTCCAGATAATTTTCTAGAAAGTTACTCTTGAAACTGGAAAAATGATAGTCAGACATGCTTCCATTTTGGAGGACTGTCTCTGGAAGGCTGTCAGAGAAACTTTTGGAAAAACTTATCATATGGAGGAGAAATTAGAATTCTGAAATTCTTCAATATGATGGGTTTTGTACTTTTCTTCTACCAAATAAGGTCAAATTCTTGAATGTATATATGCCCAAATGAACATGTGTAACTCAATTGATTTTACTTCTCCCCTCCTCTTAAATCCTGCTTCCATTTCCCCCCCATTTCCACATATTTTCCCTCTATGTCCCCAGACCAAAGTCTTGTACTGTATAAGTCATAAAGCAACTTTTCCTTTGCTGGTTATAAATGAAAGAATATAATTCTGAAGCATGAATTTGAAGGCAGTCGGTCTTACATATTGTTTGGGATGGTGGGGTACACTGATTGAGATGATGGACAAAACTACTGTGTTTCCCCCAAAATAAGACCCTGTCTTATATTTTTTTAAACTCCGAAATCAGCGCTTGGCTTTATTTTTGGGGAGGTCTTATTATTTTGGGGTGTGTGGAGCAAGACAGGGCTCCTCTTGCTGATTTCCAGCTCTGTCACCCTAACCCTAACTAGAGGAAATGGCGAGGATTGGCTGCGCATATGCTTAAATATTTTTGGGGAGGGCTTATTTTTTGGGGGGGGGGCGGGACTTATTTTAGTCCATGCGCTCAAAAACCTGATTGGACTTATTATCAGGGAATGTCTTATTTTCAGGGAAACATGGTTAAGAGATGGGACACCTCTTCCTCTACCTGATTGAGCCACTGAGGGCTCATGATGGCTTCCTTGTTGATGCTGAATTTGACTCCAATGGTTCCTTCTCTGTCTAGACTCCCAAATTTCACTCTGGTGGTCGACTTATTTGGAAACCACACCCAGCTCACAATGTCAAAGTCAGCCATCAAATCTCCATTTCTATCCAAATACATTCCTTCTATGGTGTTGTTGTAGATCTGAGGATTCTTCAGGAAATGGTGAAGCTACAGAATATAAGGAAAGAGGTTTTTACACAACTGGAATCATCTAAAGAAGTTGATGTACAGAGATATAAGGAATTTGGCTTATTGAGCTGCAGCCTGTTTTCTTCTCAGGACAATCTGCATAGATTTGTCCTTCAGGTACCAATGGCGGATGTTTTCTTTCCAACATCTGGCTGTTGTGACTTCGACCCCCGAGGCCGACTTATCAGAGGGAGAAGGCTCCGAACATGAAGGAGAGGAGTTGGCCAGGCCGCCCTCTCCAGGACCCTCCTCTCTGGCAATGCCTCAGGTGTCTCCCGAAGGAGAAGAGATTGGCCAGGAGCCAGGTATCTCCTTGCAGTCAGACAGTGATGGAGATAACTCTTGGCTGGATCCACACCAGCGTCTGAGAGACAAGCGCATGCAGCAGAATAGGAGGTGTGCCAGAGATTAATCTGAGTCACTGGACCACACCCCACAGGAGATAAAAGGGGGTGAGGTGGCCATTCAGACTCTGTGACAGACAAAACTAACTACTAGCGAGTCACATTGTATCTTTGAAACAACGTTATTTGCCTTGGACTTAATACGGATCAATTCTTGATCTGTGTGTATCTTGTTTGAGTTTATCTGTCGGAGGAACAACCCCTCCCTCTATGAGTAAAGTTCTTGGCAAGCAGCTACTGGGTTGCTGCCAATCCTCTTATCGAAAGAATTTGTTCTCTGCAAGTTTTATTTAACCTCTGGCTATCTGTTTGTGTTCGTGTGTGAGATGGGGACGGAACACTGGCATTCCCCACTAACCCACATTTTCTTGTTTTATAGTTTTATTTCTCCCCTTAGTTCTCTTGAAGATAAGCAGATGGCAGAAGGGCAGGAGAAGGGAAATCCATTACCTACAAATATATTTGCTTACATTATCTGTTGCTTATCCATGAGTTTTCCCCTCCTCCCTGAGATGTCCTGTATAGCTATAGATACATCCTTTTGTCTACAGAGATTTATCTTAACATTATTTGGAGAGTTTCTCCTGTGCACATTGAATAACAAACAACGCAGTGAGCCTTGATTATTTATTTTGGGACCTGTGTTTTGATTCCACAAGAGAGATAGATTAACAGAGTTGGAAGGGACCTTGTAGATCATCTAGTCCAACCCCCTGCCCAAGCAGGAGACCCTACACCATTTCTGACAAATGGCAGTCCAATCTCTTCTTGAAGGATTCCAATGATGAAGTTCCCACAACTTCTGAAGGCAAGCTGTTCCATTGGTTGATTGTTCACACTGTCAGAAAATGTCTCCTTATTGTAGAAGACACAGCATCAGTTTGTACAACTCAGTCCTGGAAATATAATAATTTAATAATTATAATAATAATTTAACAAAGTTGGAAGGGACATTGGAGGTCTTCTAGTCCAACCCCCTGCTTAAGCAGGAAACCCTACACTACTTCAGACAAATGGTTTTCTAATCTCTTCTTATAAACTTCCTGTGTTATGAATTGGCTTTCGGAAATTGGGAAGCAAATGTCAATATTTATAATTGACTTCCATTTGCTCGTTATCTGAAAAAGCTTGAACACTGATTTGGAGGGAAAGCTTGAATATTGATTCTGGAACTCTTCAGGTGCTTTTACAAGAATATACACTGATAATTCTTCTTGCCTGGACTACTGCAATGCTCTCTACATGGGGCTCCCCTTGAGGAGGCTCCAGCTGGTCCAGAATGTGGCCGCGCGGGTAACTATGGGGGCTCCCATGGTGCTCCCATGTAACACCACTCCTGTGCGAGCTGCACTGTCTCCCGGTGGTCTTCCGGGTGCGCTTCAAGGTATTGGTTCTCATCTTTAAAGCACTCCATGGCTTAGGGCCTGGGTACTTACGAGACCACCTTCTGCCACCGATAACCTCCCACTGGCCAATTCGCTCCCACAGAGAGGGTCTCCTCAGGGTGCCGTCGGTCAAGCAATGTCGACTGACGACCCCCAGGGGGAGAGCCTTCTCTGTGGGGGCAACCACCCTCTGGAACGAGCTACCCCCAGGAATATGACTGATCCCGGACCTCCGTACTTTCCGCCGAGCGTTAAAGACCTTCTTATTCCAGCAAGCCGGGCTGTCTTAAAATTTTAATGGGTTATTTTATGGGGAAAGGGTTTTAAAATTTAGGGAAGCCAAACTGATTTAATTCTGTTTTAATTCTTTTTAATTTTTATACTGTATGTGTGTCAAATTTTGGCTGTTCACCGCCCTGAGTCCTTCGGGAGAAGGGCGGTATACAAATTTAAATAATAAATAAATAAAATAAAATAATTGTAATATTAAATACAATATAGTGTTACATTATAATAAATTGGGAGATTATCCAAAATCCCTTTCCACAAGCATCAAATTCTAGAATCAGAAGAAAAGCTCAAAGCACATGAAGTAAAATACATGAAGTAAAATAATTGTAGTGGTGTGTGACAACATAACCAAGGTATAATTTGCCATTCAAAATGCTGGAGGCCAAATGTAAAAAGAAAGAGTAATTCAATATTTAATGTTACATGTAATAACAGTGGCAACGGAATTACGTATGCACAAAATTGGAAAAACGAAAGTATACCGACAGAGGAAATGGTAGTAAAGAAAATATTAGAATGTGCCAAAATGGACAGGGTAACGATGGAAATTAAAGACAAAGAAGAAACAGCGTATTACTTAATATGGGGCCTATGGTACAATTAACTAGATAATAGATGCAAAGTTTAGAAAATTAATGATGAAAGAGGGTCAATAAGCTAGAAACGAATACAGATATAAAACTATATAGAAGAATATGTATTGCAAGAAATATTATTATTAGACTGTGCATAACTGCAAATTAAAATATATAGAGTGCTAAATGTATAGAGAATTATGTTATAACTATGGAAACAATAGATATAAGTATGTTATATAATATCAAGTTTCTTTTTTTTTCCCTACGGACTATACTGTATGATTAAGAGAAAAATGGTCGTAATTAGGATGTATAACATTACATGTATTTATAAAGGTGCTGATACAACCAGTATATCCTTTTGCCTTTCAGCTCCAATCCAGGAGCCCTCAAGCAACCGCCTCCACGACAAACCATTTTATATCAAATTTATATTTTTAAAAGGTAGACTACTATAGATCTATTTCAAGCTATTTAGCTCTCATCAGCTACTCTCCCTTTATTTCTTTATCAGCAAAAATATAAATTTTGTATAATTAATATATATAGCTTGTGGCTCAGAAGGTTAATTCAACTGCCTAACATGCAGAAATCCAAGTTCGTAAGGGTATGGCTAGCTGATGAAAGCTAAAAAGCTTGAAATAGATCTATACTAGTCTCCCTTTATTTCTTTATCACCAAAATATAAATTTGGTATAAAATGGTTTGTCGTGAATGCGACTGCTTGAGGGCTCCTGGATTGGAGCTGAAAGGGAAAAGGGAGCAGAACGCCCCCTCCCCCATGTTGGGGTAGACCAGGTGACTCAATAGAAAAACATTTGATATGTATGTATGTATGTATGTATGTATGTATGTATGTGTATGTGTGTGTGTGTATGTGTGTATATATATATACACACACACACACACACACACACACACACACATACACACATATATATATAAACCTGAGAAGACATATATACACACACACCCATAATCTGGGTCCTCATTTGACCTACCTTAGAAAGGATGGAAGGCTGAGTCAACCTTGAGTCTGGTGAGATTCGAACTTAAAGTAATTGCAGGCAGCTCAATGTTAATAACAGGCTTTAGTCTGCTGTGCCACCACCAGGCTCTAAATATATATGAAAGAGGAGGACAAGGGATCTTATGAAAGAAAATGATTCATAAAAGGTATTTTTTTCTCAATGTATATGACATTTCTCAAAGAGTGTTTCATGATGTTCTCCATCTAGATGTCACCCTTAGCAACATACATGGAACCGATAAGGAAATACCTGCCATGGTTGAATGTTTTCAACTTCCACCTTGTCTTTTCTCTTCATCCATGTCCTCTGAGATCGGGGTGAATTGACCACATTTAAGGCATGTGCCACAATCTGGATGGCATTGTAAGTTAAGGAGCTATCTAGAGAGAAGGTCTTTTCAATCTCCTGCTGAGGTAGAGTCTCCAAGTTCTCTTTCTCTGTACACCTTGTCCAGCCTTTCACAGACAAGGCAGGCTTCCCATATGAACAGTGAAATTTTTTAGTCATAAATGCTTCGATAAAAAAATAGAAATCTAGGAAATCGTCAAATTTGGTCCTTTGGCTAGTCTGGATAAGAAAAGAAAAAATAATATGGGTGTATCTGAAAGAGAAATTATTATATGATAATTCAAGGGTGAGATCCCACAAAGCGGTTGTGATCCAAACTTTCCCTTCAATAGGCTTTTGCAAGGAATTTAACATGTGTTCTAGGATAATGACTCCCTCGATGAATGTAAACTCTGAGTAATAAACAAATACATTGATCTGGGCCCACAGGTTGAAAACAGAAATCAGATGCTGGAAGTTCTCATCTTTTAATAATACGATTTGTGAAAAAACAACACAGATGCCATTCTGTGCCAGCACAGGAACGAAGGTCCTAATGAAATGTTCTCCGTTATCAGTGTCTGCAGCAAAGACGCCAATGAATGTCCATTGAAAATACAGCAGCAGTTTAACAATCCCCAGGTTTTGAGCACCTTCTTTGGGGACGGTCCGGTAGAAAAAAGGTAACTGAGTTTTATCACTCAGGACCGGTGAAATAAAAGTGTAGCTGATCTGGAGTGAAAAAAAAGGAGATTTATGTTTTATTTGGGGCTTTTACTATCCTGCTCTATGGAGTAGAGAGTTGGTCTCTGACAGAAAACCACTTGAAGAAATGAGAAGCATTTGAAATGTAGATTTACAGACAGCTGTTACGTATAAACTGGGTTAACAAAAATCACAAATAAGGAGGTGATAAGCCACCTGGGAAAGCCAAGGGAAATCATCAAAGCCATTAAAAAGTGAACGTTAGAATATTTTGGACACTTGATGCGAAACCCAGAAAAATACGGCATCCTTCACTTAATCCTCCAGGGAAAGATTGAAGCCAAACGAGGTCCAGGCAGAAGAAGAACATTGTGGCTTCAAAACCTAACAGACTGTTTTAGAGAAAACTCAGCAGCACATTTTCACGTGGCTGTTGACGAAAATAGGATTTGCCAACATGATCACCAACCTCCGATGACGGATATGGCAGAAGAAGAAGACCTATTAGATCCTGAAAAGATAATGTCTAAGGAGAAAATCTTCTTAACTGTTCTGGAATAAACTTGCAGCCATTCACTGGCTCTATACCTGTGGGATTTTGTAGATGCCCAATATGGCAGCCATAAGGATGGATATATCAGAGTTGGTCTCTTCCAGGAGAACCAGCATGTTTCTCTTCCTTCCACAGCTGTAGTTGGGAACATTGGCCTCTCCAGTCGAAAGCAAATCCAACAGACCATCCAATGTCAACATTTTGTCTCGAAAGTTGTCATGGAGGTTATAACCCAGGGTGAGGTTGGGCAAGAGAAGAGGGTCTTTGTTGATTTCCTGAATGGCAAAAAGGAAGGACAGAATTTTCCAGTACAACACACCTGTTTTCCTGAAAAGATACATGGATTTTGCCATGATGTTACATTCAGTGAAATCACCAACCTAGAAGTAAGGAGAAATTTCCTGACAGTGAAAGCAATTAACTAGTGGAAGGGCTTCCTTCCCGAAGTTGTGGATGCTCCATCACTGGAGGTTTTTAAGAAGAGATGGAATGGTTCAGGGCAGTGATGGCTAAACTTTTTGCCATCGCATGCAAGGAAGGGGGGAGGGGGAAGTCCATGTGCGTGTGTGCCCACACCCATAATTCTATGCACCCTGCCCTATGCATGTGCGTGAACCCCCCCTCCACCCCAGCTCCTGTCCCCAGCCTCCAGAGCCTCTCCAAGGGTCTCTGGGGGTTGGGGACAGCAAAAACGTCACTTTCTCTCCAACCGGGAGTTGGGAAATGGGCTGTTTTAGGCATTTGAAGAGCCTCTGAGGGAATGGGGAAGGCTGTTTCTGCCCTCCCCAGATGCATAGAGAGGATCTTGAGCCAGATCAGAAAGAAAAACGGGCCTTCCCCAACCCTCGAGGCCCTCCGGAGGCAGGAAATAGCCTGTTTCACTGCTTCTGGTGGGCCCATGAGGCCCAAAAATCATCTGGCTGGCATGTGCATGTGCGCCAGAGCTGAGCTCACGTACCCACCGATATGGCTACACATGCCACCTGTGGCACGCGTGCCATAGGTTTGCCATCACAGGTATATGGTCTCCCGCTTGTGCAGGGGATTAGATTAGAAGACCTCCAATTTCTTCCCATCGAACTCTGTTATTCTCTTAATGCATTTCATATGTGCTATTGTGACTACACAGGTTTTTGTCCCCAAAGTTCCTGTTCTCTACTTAGATTATTTGAAAGTGAAAACAGACACACTCCAGACAATCTTGGCACTGTTGTCACTTGCACTATTCGCTCAACCTCAGTTTGAGAAGTCAAAAAAAAAATCCCAGGAAAATATTTTGGTAAACCATGTCTGAAAATGTAGCTCAGAAATCTGCATGGACCTCACCAGGATTTGAGATTCCATCAAAGGGCCATTATGCATGGATTACATTTTTAAAGTGTGCTTGTATGGGTGTGTATAGACTGAATGTGTGAATGAAGTTGGGGCAGAAAAGAAAGCATTTAAGAATTGAACAGAAGTACCAGCTTTCCCATTTTCTCTTGAGTAAATGGTCTCGATCCCTGATTGCTTGAGAGAGTGGATAGAGAAAACAGAGGGCCTGCTCAAAGCACTTTGGTATCAGTGGAACCAGAGGTGAGTCAAGAAGGAGCATCTGAAGATGCCCATGTCCACATCAGGGAAACAACAACTAGCTGTGGCGAGTTTGGAGAAATCCATGGATCATTGAAGAAAAAAATACAGAGAATTTGGGAGAAAGACTGGAGGCACCCAGGAGCTGACTGCTGATGTCTTTGGAATTGCGGGTTCTATCTTTCTGGAAAATTTATTCATTCAATTTATTAGATTTATGAGGCATGTCAAACTCCTACTCTGCAATAGCATTGTGGTCTCCTGGCTACTGTAGCAACAACAGATGCTAATAATAATATTAGATTTACATGCCGCCCATCTTGTCCAAAGGAGACTCTGATAGCTATCTTCTAGGAAAGACTCAGAAAAGAAATCAGCCTTTTCTCTGAATTGGGACTGACCAATTAGAGCCTCCTGTCCTTTTCTCTGATGGCCATGCTGAGACCATAACCATGACCTCCCAAGCTAATCACCTTGAAAGATGAAAGCAAGTTGTCCATGTAGAGATCAGTTGGACAAGGGTGCTGAGCATTAAAGCTTGCTTTTGTTTCATCTGCTGAATGTGTTCCACTTCATGCTGTTTGTATACAGATGTGACTGTTGATCTCAGTATCTAACTAATCTCACTCTGTCAAGGACCTAGGAGTACACATCTCAAATGATCTATGCCCCAGAGCTCACTGTAACAGCATTGCCAAAAGGCATTAAGACCTAAGCATAGTAAACAAAATTGTCTACTACAAAGTCCTATCTATCAATGACTACTTCAGCTTCAAGCACAATAATACACATGCAAACAATAGGTACAAACTGAAGGTAAACCGCTCCAAACTCGATTGCAGAAAATACGACTTCAGCAACAGAGTGGTCAATGCCTGGAATGCACTACCTGACTCTGTGGTTACTTCCAGAAACCCCCAAACCTTTAACCTTAAACCGTCTACCGTGGACCTCACTCCATTCCTAAGAGGTCTGTATGGGGGCATGCATAAGCTCACCAGCGTGCCTACCATCCCTGTCCTACCATCCCCATTTATTTGTACTCATCTCCTGTGTTCATGTCTATACTTATACCTCTTTTCTCGTACAAGTTTGACAAACTAAATAAAAATAAAATAAAATAAAATAAAACCTCACTGCCTTCCTCCGTCCCCATTTTTCCTTAAAGGCAATGTAACATAACATCAATCAACATCATGAGACTTACCGATGAACCTTTTTAGAAGGACTCAAACTGAAATTCTGCAGCTCAGGTTGTAGATTATTTGTTGCAGAGAAGAGCCCACCGATGAGATGATCTCCTGGCCTGTAGTGGTTGAGTGGGTCTCTTGCATCCCTCCCCAAAGTCAAGAAGCACTTGGTGCCGAGCATCCCACAGGCTGCCTGGGGCAACAAAAGCTCCATCAGAAGCAGAAGCAGTGGGTTCATTTCTGAGTTAGCCGGAGGAATCCCCTGCCTTGCATCTGATCTCAGAATCAGTAGAGCAGAAGCATTTGGAGACGTTGAAAGCAGATTGCTGCAAGACTGAATTTTCTAATATAATATGAAGCCCAGAGAGAACTTCCCCAATGATGGAAACTGGACTAATGCAGAAGCAGAGTTCCTGGTGTCCATGAAGCTCAGTCCAGCTTTCCAGGGTGACAAGACAACTTATACACTAACTTTCCTGATGCTGAATGTGTTGCTGCTGAGTCTGTTGACCTCCTTCAGACAATCTCCAGAGGGAAAAAGAATCCCTTGACATTTAGCAAGAAGGCAAGAAAGAAATCACTATCATTCTAATAATTAGCTGGGGAAGTAGGAGTTTTGCAAAGTCCTCCCTGCAGGGTGAACTGGGATCCAACTGAAAAAGTCCCGATGTAATTCAACGTAGTGGATTCCCAGAAAGCATCCACAACCAAATTGTTCTGTGGGCATTTGGGACACGTATCATTCTGCTGGGTTGATTTCCAGTTGTTTTTCTTTTATGCTATTTTATGTGACTGGTTTATTTTATAAAGTTGTGCTTTTGACGTGATGAATTTACTGTTTTCTTACTGTGGACTTTTGAACATTATGATGCTTATGTGGCCTTAGATTTACTGTGCATTCCTTATTATTCAGAACGTTATGTTTTAGGGTGGATACTTTATTTTTTTATTCTGAGCTACTGTGCATCTGTCTGGAATTGAATGCAGACAAATCAAATAGATGTCCAGATGTCTGTCCATCCATCCATCCATCCATCCATCCATCCATCCATCCATCCATTCATGTAACATGTCCCTTTTCTACTTGGAAGAGTCGAACAAAAGAGTCAAAGAGTTTCTAAGAAATTTCTCCCTTGCTATATAACCTCAAACAGAGATGCTCAACATGAGACATCTCTGGTTCTTTCATACTGATCCAACAGGTAGCAAAGTCTATCTGTATCCCTCTGCCAAAATGAAAATCTAATGAGTAGCATTTCACCCTGAGTCTTAAATACTTTGCTTCCATAAATATCTCCTGCAAATCATGAATTTTGATTGTCCCTAGAAATGGTTCCATCCAGGAAAGGAGATTACAAGAAAACCTCATACTTTCCTTTCCTTTCCTTTCCTTTCCTTTCCTTTCCTTTCCTTTCCTTTCCTTTCCTTTCCTTTCCTTTCCTTTCCTTTCCTTTCCTTTCCTTTCCTTTCCTTTCATTCCCTTCCCTTCCCTTCCCTTCCCTTCCCTCCCCTCCTCTTTCCTCTCCTTCCCTTCTTTACTGTAGGTATCTTTGTCCACTTTCATCCACTCCATCAAAAGTTTCATTCCAACAGTGAATCTGATGGAAGAAAAATCTGCTGTCAACTCAGAAAGCATCTCTGGTCTGCTCTTGAGTTGCCATTGGCAAGGGGAATGGGAAAACTAACTCTGTAGCTGCGGTGAGGCAGCATGTCAGTCAAAAAAAAAGCACATTCCAGCCATCTCTCTGTTAAGGCTGTCTCCATGGTTATCCACAGTGGCCAGAGAGGAGTGATCTCTACAACCCACAAAATTGCTTCGATGGAAAATTGTGACTGATGATACACCTTGGGGGGAGGGGGAAAACAGGGTCAGAGCTGGAACGTAAATTACGTGGGGTCAGAGTTGGCTTCACTTGGAACGTGCTGACATGAAGCTCCTAATAAATAATTGGATTTCTTTTGAAGCTTGGCTCGAGGCTCATGATTTAATTAGGGCATCGATTGGAATCCTGACATCTGCTTTATGGTAAACGCTATTTTTCTCTTTTCAAATACTGAAAATACACCAAATTTCCTGTGGATCACCCTTTAAACATCAACTGAGATGACAGCATAGCTAAGATTGAATGTCTTCTATCAAGAAAATTTGGGGACCATTGTAGTTTCCCTTTGCCTTGTTTCTATTTTTAGTAACAGACTTAATCTTGGGAATCATTTAATTCCCAAAAACTCACTTACTGAAAGCCAATAGTCAACATCGCCTCTATTTTATTTATTTATGTACCATATTTTTTTCGAGTATAAGGCACACCTTTTTCCACCAAAAAAGAGGGTGAAAATCCGGGTTTGTCTTATACTCCGAATGTAGCCCCACCCAGCTTCTCAACCGGAGGTTTCAGAGGCTGAAAAAAGCATTAGAAATGAAGCTTCAGAAAAGAAGCCCCCAAACAGCTTCAGAAAAGAAGCCCCCAAACAGCTTCAGAGGCTTTTTTTTTGCTGAAACTGTTTTGGAGGCTTTCAGAGGTAGGAAAAAAAGTTTTTTCTGAAACATGGTTTACAGAGTCACCATCTTGCTCCAAATAATCCTTTTACTGACCTCAGAAGGATGCAAGGCTGAGTCATCCTTGAGCCAGTCAGGATCGAACTCCTGCTGAATGAGCAGTGAGTTAGCCTGCAATATTGCTGTCATAGTTGACTTGCTACGCAGTCTTGCTTTTTTTGTTGTTAGTTGTGAAGTCGTATCTGACCCATCATGACCCCATGGACAATGTTCCTCCAGGTCTTCCTGTCCTCTACCATCCTCTGGAGTCCATTTAAGCTCACTCCTAATGCTTCAGTGACTCCATCTAGCCACCTTGTTCTCTGTCATCCATTTCTCCTTTTGCCCTCAATCGTTCCCAGCATTAGGGTCTTCTTCAATGAGTCCTTCCTTCTCATTAGGTGACCAAAGTATTTGAGTTTCATCTTCAGGATCTGGCCTTGCTTGCAACCAGACAACTATAACAGGAGGGGGAAGGGAAGGCCTTGGAATCTAAGGGAGGCTTGGGAAGGAAATTTGGAATGCAAGTGTGTCAACTGGAAGTCTGAGACAGATCCAATATCTCAAGGTCACCAGCTGGGGAAGTCCGAGGCAGACAGACTGTTCCAAAAACAAAGAAAGTGCAAATGCATGGTGGACAATGGACAATGGGAGGTCCAGGGGGGCAAGGGAAAGTTTTCCTATGCTATTTTGACAGGAAATCATTAGAACTGGCTTTTCTACATGGGGTTCCCCTTGAAGAGCACTCGGAGGCTCCAACTGGTCCAGAATGCGGCCGCGCGGGTGGTTATGGGCGCAACTCGTTGTGCCCATGTGACACCCCTCCTGCGCGAGCTGCACTGGCTCCCAGTGGTCTTCTGGGTGCGATTCAAGGTGTTGGTTACCACCTTTAAAGCGCTCCATGGCATAGGACCCAGGTACCTCCGAGACCGTCTCCTGCCACCAATAGCCTCCCACCGACCAGTTCGCTCCCACAGAGAGGGTCTCCTCAGGGTGCCATCGGCCAAGTTATGTCAGCTGGAGACACCCAGGGGGAGGGCCTTCTCTGTGGGAGCCCCAGCCCTGTGGAACGAACTGCCCCTGGAAATACGTAAGATCTCTGACCTCCGGGTGTTTCGCTGCGCACTGAAGACCCTGTTGTTCCGCCAGGCTGGACTATCAACATAATAGTTTTAAATTGGGGTATTTAAATTTTTTGGGGTTTTAAATCTGAGCCAATTTATTTAATTATTTTAAATTTTAAATTGCTGTTCGTCTGTGTTTTTAAATAGGCTGTACACCGCCCTGAGTCCTTCGGGAGAAGGGTGGTATAGAAATAAAAAAAAATATTATTATTATTCTCCTGTACCTACATGGAATCTTCAGTAAAGTTACCTTATTTTTCAGAGTATAAGACGCACTCCCCCACCAAAAGAGGCTGATAACTTGGGTGCGTCTTATACTACAAATGTAGCCCCACCCACCAGCCAATCCCACCCTTCAGCCTCAGCACGTCCTCTTCCTGGCTGCAGAGATTGCCACAGACAATGGCTCTCATTTTCAGCCTCCAAACGCTCCGTTTGAGAGCCGTTCAAGGCTGTAGGGATTGCCAAAACACATCGCCACTGTCTGTGCACATTGTGTTTTTGGCCTCTGTGCATCATGTTTTAGGCTTCAGCATGCCCCATTTTTGGCTTCTGCACATCATGTTTTCGGGTAGCGATGCACGGTGATGTGCTTTTTATGATCCCCGCAGCCATGAACGGTTCTCAAATGGAGCGTTTTGAGGCTGAAAACGCGAGGCGCGGAGCCCAAAATGGCAACCCATTTTGCCAAAGCTACTGCCTTATCTTACCGCTTCCGCGCTTCACCTGCTTTACTAAGTGGAGCTCCCTCTACAATCAGCTGTGCTTCTTTAGCTGTTTATCAGCCCCAGTGCGCGCTCACATCCAGCCAACTAACGTGTGCTAACGTGTCCAGGATAAGGACTCTAGCCAGATGAATACTTGGTAGGCAGAGGCAGAATTTTTTTTTCCTATTTTCCTTCCGAAAAACTAAGGTGCCTCTTATACTCCGGAGCATTTTATACTCAAAAAAATATGGTATATTCTTGGTAAAAAAATGTCCCAGGAGTTTCTTTTGCTGTCTAATCCAATGGGACAATTGACAACTGCATTCTAACTGACTGACTGACTGAAGCTGATGTAGATGGGATGTTCAGTTGCCTTTTTGTTTTGTAACTACATGAAATTAGTGTAGATATAGAGTTAAAGGCAGGGCAAGCATATCATTGACTGGGAATCTTGGATTCTGGGAATCCTGAATTATGCCTACTTTATCACTTTATGGCTGAAGGCTGTACAATTTAAAGCTTTGTTTTTACTTTGTATCTTGTTGCAAAAATGTATGTAAAACTTGTTGGTTTGAGAGCTGTTGTGCTTGAGGCGTAAAATATTCCTGAGCATCTTTTTTTTGGTCAGAAGTAAATATTTTATTATTATCTCCATCCTCAGTGTGTTTTATTGGGCCTTGCATACCAGCCCTGAATCCAGAGATTTGGAATGTTTCCAAAAATTTCCTTTCTTGTGCAATAGATTCTCTTTTCCTATTTCATTTTGGAAAAAAAAAATGCGTAGGTATCTTCAGTGCTTAGCCATCCTTTCCCCTTTCAATCACATATTTCCTATTCCTATCCTATCCTGCCAATCAGGGTTTCTTGG